ACCACATCTACAGCCCTTCCCTCATCCACTCATCATTCTGAGGAGTTTCTACTTTTGTAAGCTAAAACTGAAATAAATAAATACCAACGGGAGCGTCACTAGCATGTTGTTTAGGGTTAATAGCAGCTTGTGGTTGATCTCCTCTGACAAGGAGGAAATTTCAGGTGAAATTCAGAATTTCTGAATCCTTCTGAATCCCGCTGGGGTGCTTTTGCAGGTGGCTGCAGACAGAGTATTTCATCTGGGAGCACCAGTCGCTGCTGATTCCATCCTCATTGATATAGGCGCATTGTCCATTGCCCTTGACGGGGAACCTGCACCAAACAGCAGAAGGAAAACTCAAAGGGAAGCAAAACGGGTTGTTGTCAGCCGTAGGTCAGTGGCTGAGCTTCTCCCTTAGGGGTTAACAATGCTGCAAGGAGCAGGGACCACCCTTCCCAGCAAACAACTCGCCCCACACAGAACAAAAACTGCCTCCCACTCCACAAAGGAGGGACTGTTTTCAGTTGCTTGGTCTCAGGGGGGTTCATCCAGGGATGCCCTCAACCCTCTGCCAGCATCCGCATCACACAAATCCACGGACTGTGGTCCAAGTGCTTTAGCTCAAGCAAGAAATGTGGTGTTTAATTGCTCCCACCTCATTAAATTTGTATCTATGTGTGCCTTCTTGCATTCAATCCCTAACCCATCTCAGCCCAGGACATGGTTACGTTCTCCAAAAGACAGGACGTACGGGTTGTAGAACCCCTTGTCGGTTGGCCTGTTGAACCACTGCCAAGGTCCAGAGCCTTCCCTTCGGAGACCGATCCAGTAGTGCAAGGAAATCCCATAGCGCAAGAGGAAATCCTAGAGGAGGGGGGGAAAGCAAGCATCATATGTACCTTCACGTTACGCCCTCCGGCAAATCCCAAATCTGCTTCCCAAAAGCCACTGACACACCAGTTCCTGGGGGATTTCTCATTTACCAGCTCCTCCTGGGTGTCGATGGTGGCCAGGTGGGCTCCGAGAGAAAGGCAAGAGTTCTGACTGCTGTTCCAGTCCATTTCATTCTCCATGAAGTAAAAGCACTTCTCCCTGTACCCAATCCCCTTTTCATGGCAGCTGGGAAGGATGGGAGAGGGGCAGGATGGGCAGGACGGGCATTTCTTAGCTGGAAATAAGCAGAACACATCCTGGTGACTTACACGGGAGAGTGTTCTTCAGGGGAGGAGAAGACTTTGGTGGTGAGCACCTCCATCCTCAGCCACTTACCTGCCAGCGCGATGATGGTGAGAAGCAACACTGCTATGACCACCGTGACCCCGATGGGGACCTTTTTATCTTTAATGCACTTGAGGCTAAAATCTGGGGACAAATAGCATGCAAGAGGTACAGCCAGCAAACCCATGGCACAAAGAGCAGCCCAAGCTCCCCGCAGCTCTTGTATTCCCCCCACGGGTGCCTTCAACACCTTTAAATACAGCTGCAGAGCATGGGGGGGGCCAGAGTGGGGTACAGGTTCAGTTCAAGGGGTGCATCCCCATGCTTTCATCAGCCTCCAAGGATTTTTAGGGCTGCCTGACCTCGCTGCATCCTCTCCACCCACCCTCAACCACAAGAGATGGGCACCATCCCCCAGAGCCACAGCTTGGGCTGCCCTGCACCTCCAGCAGCTTGCAAACAGCTTTACCTTTCTTACATCCTCCTCCTCCCCCTCACCCCAGTTGTTTTAATTAAATTTTAGCTGCCCATGTCACTCTAAGCCCAGCCACAACCTCTGAAACAACATCTGCGAAACAAGACTGGTGCTTACTGGTCCCTTCCTCCGCTCTCTGTTGCGACGGCATCATTACAGCAGTCGAGTCTTCGCCTGTGCAAAAGCAGCAAGCCCATGCAAAGTGAATTACTGCTAATGCCGTGACAGTACTCAGTAGGACATGCCTGACCTTCAGTATTTTCCCCCCACGACAATCAAGGGAACAAGCAGCACTTCCCCTTCATCTGGTTTACATACATGGCAGGAAGGAAAATATTATTTCCTCCAAAGAAAACAGGACTTGCTTTGTTTTCCCAAGTCAGCCCTGATTCTGTGGGTTTCTGACAGCTCTGTTTGCCCTGGAGAGGTGCTGTCTCAATTACTTCCCCACTTCTTTGCCTGCAAGCTGTTTTCTGCTCCAATCCCCACTCCAGGACCCTCATCAAACCCATCCGAGCCACGGCCTGCAGCCTAAAGCACAGAAACCACCCCCTCATCTCCCCATCCTAGGCGGGCCGGCTCCTAAAGCCTCTACGAAAGGGGATGGTGCTTCCGTACCCGTGTCATGAACAGCTTCTGCCATCCCTGCAGCACTCTCCGGGGACAAGCTCATCCCTCCATTCCACCAAAACCAAGGTGAGCGGGGTCAAGAACACCCCGAGATTGCAGCACGGCACCAGGGAGCAGCCGAGTCCTTCTCTGTCCCGGGGCTTTGACAGGATGCTCCTCTGGTCACTAAAATAAAAAGACAAAAAGCTCATAATCCGCCCCCGAGAACCTCAGAGCTTGCTTGACGAGGTAAGCACTTTTTTCGAAATCTGTTATATACCTCAAAGCTCCTTTTTCCACATCCCAGCCTGCGTTCTCTCTGAATTATTGTCCTCAAAACCTCCCACAACTGCATATTTTTCTACATGGCTCTTGCCAACTGTTTTTCTAAATTCTTTTGGCTTTTGATCTTTCCCTGGACACAGACTTTTCCCAAAGGCCATGGTAAAGCACGAACAGACTGAGAGAAGCAAAACCAGTCCCACAAGAGCTATTTGTAGAACATTCACATTTATAAGAAAACAGCAGAGAAACAGAACAAGAAACTGTGGTTGCTGTTGTCAACAAGCCCTTGAAGTCACCGACAGCTGCAGCTCCTCTAGCAAAGAGCTTCTATATTTACTAAAACTATATCTAGAACCCTTGATACCAAAGGGTTAAAGAATTCAGCTAAATTAACAGAAGAGCAGGCACATTATTTAGCCTGGCACCTCAAGGTTGGGAAGCATCAAGAAAAGGAACAAACGAGAGAAGAAGGGACACTGTTACCTAAGTCAGTAGGCAAGAATGTGGAGAGAGGCCTCCAAGAGAGGGAGTTCTAGACATGAAGGGAGCCAAGCCGATCACACGTTACAACCCACAGACATCAACAATAAAGTAGCTGAAAGCAGGACAGAGGTAATTGTGGTAGTGGGAGATCGCGACCTCCAACTCAAATGGCCCCCCCGAAAGAGGGCAAAACCCCACTTGGGATGCATGTGCAGTTAAGAGAGAGGCTTCGTTAGTGCTTGCTGAGGATGCGTACTAATTTACATTAGAAGCGAGAAACTTATAACTAATAATACGTAGTGTACTATGAATATGCAAATGTCCCATGGTATATAATATGTATCTCCATTTTTCTCGGTGTGCATGCTTGGAGGAGCCATCCCCCTTGCACCCGGCGCTGCAATAAACCAATGTCGGCTTTCTAAACTGTCATTTGGTTTAGAGATTTCTTGGTTACGACCTTCGGTATCAGATGGGACCAGCTCTCCGGAATCTCGGCAGACCAGAGGAATCATGAGGACTTCAACGCACACTGGAGTATTTTCGGGAAGGCCCTCTGATTCCCTGGTTCAGTGAGTTTCTGCGACAGCTATCTGGGAGATTAATGACATTGGTCCTAGCTACTGGATAAGTGAGTTGTATTTAAGTTAAGTATATACTGTTCATTGTATTAAGTAAGCTGTAGTTGTATTAGAATGAAGTATACTGTTAAATTCTACTGTTAATTGTACTGTTAATTGGTATTGGTATTGTTGGTATTGGTATTGCAGTGCAGAGTCGTGCTGTGCCACAGTGGGTTAAAAGTCTCACTAGAGGGGGTTAAAGTCCCACCAGAGTGGTACTGTGTGATCCGTACACTACTACGGGGATGCCCGGAGTCCAGATTCTTGGCCTACTGTTAATCTTAGGTTATTGTTAATTTTAATTGTTAACGTTATTTCTTTGAACTTTTGTAATTTGGATTTCACACTTTGTCACATTTTATTAACCGGAATTTGTCTAGCTATAAGGTATTGTAACACTTTATAATATGGGAACTGGGCAGTCCAACATGGGGGGAATCCCTCAGTGCTCTCCCCTGGGCGGTATATTGAAACACTGGAGCAAGTTCAGGGATGATCCCCTAACTCGGAAAAAGTTAGTGGACTACTGTAATCACTGGTGGCCTGTGTGTACTCTAGATGATCGGGAAAAGTGGCCTAAGAATGGAAGCTTAAAGTACAGTACTATATTACAGTTACTGTTATTTTACAAACGAGAGAGAAAATGGGATGAAGTGCCGTATGTCGATTTGTTCTTTACATTACAAAATGATTATGATGTACGGAAGGAATGCGGCTTGATTGGAGGCGAAAGTGGTGTAGCAGAACTGGCATTAGAGGTAGAAATGAAAAAGCCACCTAAGCGATGTTGTTTGGCATGTAGCATTGGCAAGCGATGCAATAAATAGAAAGAAAAATGGGAAGAGGATGTTGAAAAGGAGGAAGAGGAGGATGTTGAAATGTGGGTTGGACAGAGAAGGGGCGAGAGGCAGAGAGAACAAGGGAGTAGCGATTCGGATAATGAGGAAGAGGGGTTTAGGCTGGTAGCAGGGAGGACTAGGCAAAGAAATGCTCAGAATATACAAGCCCCTCTCAGGCAAGCGGTAGGACCGGTTTGGGTAAAGGTGCCGTTTTCAATAACGGATTTACAGGCTTGGAAGGAGATGGCAGGCACGTATAGGGAGGACCCTGAACAGGTAGCGAAAGTAATGGAAATCACGATCCAGATTGGAAAGATCTGCAAGTTATCTTAAACAACTTAGCATCTTATGAAGAAAAGAGGATTATTATGGCTAAGGCTAGAGAGGAGGCAGAACGAGTACATGTTCAAGCGGCACAAGCGGGTCAGATCGAGGATCATGTTCCATCTAATGATCCTAATTGGGATCCCAACGTCCAAGCTCAGAAATTATTACTGACCAAATACCAACGATTAATTCTGTATGGGATCTGGAATGCTATACCAAAAGCAAAGAATTGGTCTAAATTATATCAGGTCATTCAAGGAAAGAATGAGGATCCCTCTGCTTTCATTGAAAGACTAACGAAGGCTGCAAGGAAATATACTGATTTGAATCTGCAAAATGAGGCAGATGCTGTCTCGTTGCTCCATATATTTATAGGACAACCGAGTGCAGACATAAAATGGAAACTACAAAAGTTAGAGGGGACAGATGCCCGCTCGTTGGACAAAATGGTGGAAATCGCCTGGAAAGTATGTAACAACAGAGAAAAGGTAGGGAAGCTCAGAGATAATAGGTTACTGGCTACAGCCATAGCTCAGGGGACTGGCAAGGTCAGAGAGCAGGGCAGCTACCGGAGCTCGAGGGGAAGGTTTCCTGGCGCAACACCTAGGGCTGGAACGCCACTAGACAGGGATCAGTGTGCTTTCTGTAGGCAGAAAGGACACTGGAAAAGGGAATGTCCACACTTGATTAGGTGACAAAAGGGAATGCCCACACTTGATTAGGTGACAGGAAATACCAGAACAGGCTGTTACCATGATGACAGCCGATTCAGACTGAGGAGGACCGGGGGATGAATCAGAATCTTCCCAAACAGAACCCCTGGTTATCGTAAAGCTGGGGAATGAAAAAATAAAACTTTTAGTAGATACGGGAGCTACTTGTTCAGTAATAAATACATGTAGGGGTAGTTTGAGTAATCAAAGCAGAGCAATTATTGATGCCCCAGGGCAGAAAGAAAATCGGCCATTTTTCCAGCCTATGAAATTTGGAATTGGGAAAAGGGTGTCAACCCATCAATTTCTCTACATACAGGATTGCCCTATGCCATTATTAGGACGGGATATATTAAGTAAACTGAATGCACAAATTACTTTTGCAAACGGAAGAATTCAAATCCATATTCCTGAAAATAAAGCTTTGGATGCCCAAGTTTTTATGTTACAGAAAGGAGCCGAGTTACAGGAAATACCAGAAGAAGTCAAAAACGCTGTAACACCTCTCGTATGGGCTTCAGGAACGCCAGGACGATCCCGAGCAGCAAAACTGGTATTCATCCAGCTGAAACCAAGCATGACCGGTAAGACGGAAGCAGTACCCACTTAAACTGGAAGTCAGAAAAGGATTAGAACGATTGATAGAATGATTCATAAATTTTGGATTATTGAGAGAATGCCAGTCAGAATACAACACTCCGATACTGCCAGGTAAAAAGCCAAACTCAGAAGAATATAGGTTAGTTCAGGATTTAAGGGCTATAAATCAAATCGTAGAGGATGTCCGCCTGGTAGTGGCAGATCTGTATACCCTGTTAACCTCCTTGAGGGAAACAAATAAATGGCTTACTGGGCTGGATTTTGCCTACTGTTAGCAGCTGAGAGTCAAGAACGATTCACTTTTGAATGGGAAAACCCTAAAACCAGGAGAAAAACTCCATTGTGCTCCTGCTCTAGGTCTCCCGAACTTAGAAAAACCATTTGAACTATTCATACATGAGAGACTACATATTGCCCTAGGAGTATTGGCCCAGAGATTAGGATCCTGGAAAAGGCCCGTGCGGTACTTCTCAAAACAACTAGATAATGTCAGTAAAGGATGGCCAACATGTCTGTGAGCAGTGGTGGCTACAGCGTTATTGATCCAAGAGGCCTGAAAATTGACACTCGGGCAAAAACTAACTGGGTTTGTACCCCATGCAGTTACAACGGTTCTAGAACAAAAAGGAGGACACTGGCTATCACCAAGTTGGATGCTGAAATATCAAGCCA